TTGGCTGACAAACGATTTTCTGCAAAGTTGAAACTGATAAAAATTCCCATAATAATAGCAATAGAATTTGTTAACAGTACAATATGTAAAAGGCTAGAAGACAATTACAAAAAGTTTTGTTTTTCGATAGTCATTTTCATATAAACTTCAAATGGTTTGTGCCAAGTCAGTTTCTCACTAAATGAGTTCAAGTTTTAGGCGGCTAATCAGGGCCCAATTTGGAACCGTTTAAGAACTGTGGAGCGAAAATTTCAAATTTTGCATCAGTCTAGTGGTCACTCTACACACATATTATGCGCCAACTTTTTTCTCGGTGTTCCGGCAGTGCCGAGTGTGCTTGGTTTGGTTGTGAATAATGGCAAATTTGGCAACCCAGTTAATTTGACAGCTCAATTCAAGGCAATTTTGATTTTGAACAAGCAGTGAAATTTGAAGAATCCGAACCAGGACGACGATACTTTTGGCGAGATTGACTGTGAGGAACCAATAAAGAAAAAAGTCGACGATAGACTTCAACTGGACAAGCTGATACCGGACAAACTGAACCGACCACGGGATCTGCTCGCGAGGCAGTCGGGTTCCTTTAACCGCTTGACGAAGACAACATTGAAACGAATCTGAATTTACAGACGCTGGGACAAACTGCTGTTGATGTTAGGGAAGGAAGAATGAGAAGTTCGGGCAACGAAATTGGCTTCGGAGATCAACGATGGCTATTTGTCCGAATTGGGACAAGGTGGAGCAGCATGGTGTTATGTTAACTGATGTTGCTACTTTCACCACCACCCAGTCGTTGTCACCGGCGGCTTTACCGGGACGACAATGTACCCAGTAGAGCAGCAGTCGTGGGAAGCCACCATCATACAACTACATCAAAATCAAGATCAACATAAAGCTAATGCTGGCCTAGCCGATTTCGAACTGTTCAAACCGAACCACCACACAGAGTAGTAGTGGAGAGCTCGGTTCTGTCCATTTCACTTCCTTTATTTCATCATCTTCCACACGAAGCTTTGGGCGGACAGATGAATGAAATTTATTTTTTAAATTAATTTTAACTACATTACTCCCACGCCCTGAATTTTCCAAGACCGTTGTTGCAATTTTTTGTTATAATGATGAACGCTTAAATACGATGCAACAACAACAGCAGCCGTCGTGGAAGGAAGTGATCAGACGGGTGATAAATGACGACTGGGATTCACAATGATCAGCTCCAGTCATCCTGATAACAAAAAAAAAATTGATTTCAGTATTGATTGTGTGAACCTCGGTTTGAACGTAGCGTGAAATGATGTTAAACAATTGAATTACATCAATAACAATGATTTGACAATTGCGCAGCGCAATCACAGATATAGTGCAGTGTTACCAGAAACTTTAAAGATCATAACAATTTCCAACAATGGGTGCCAAACAGTGCCAATTAGCGTGCACAGGTGCGCCCAACTGTGTTTTTGGCACACTGTGCGGGGTGACCAACCCCAAAGGAAGAGATATCGAAAGGGCATTCCGAGGTGGTTTCGAAACGAATTCTTATGAGCTTTCTAAGGAAATTCTGTTCAAACTTCACGACTACCAAATTTTAAGGGTATTTAATTATTCCTGAATAAATTCCTAAATTCTCAAAGAATTCAGAAGATAATTTATTCAATTGAAGAGGGTTCAAAAAAATTCTAAGAATAATTCAAATAGAATCATGAGAAAAATTTCAGAGGAATTCTGAGCATAATTTCATGCGGATTTTGAGAAGTATTCCAAGCGAATTCGGAGAAAAGACGTTCATTTAATTTTTGAGAACATTCCAAACATTCCTGTGGAGAGTTCCAAGAATATTTTAGAAAAATGCTAGGGGGATTCTAAACACATTTCTGGAGAATTCTGAGCAAAAATCCAAAGTAATCCTAATGCAGAATTTTGAGGAAAATTCTAAGCTAGCTCTGAAGGAGCTTCCAAGGGGAAACAGCGGCATTAAGCTTCATAATTCTTCCTGCCTTTGACGCTCTTATATACCAGAACTTACGACTGCTCTCATCTTATTTCTCTTTAATTCTTTGAAACATGGCGACAGATATAATTAATTATTTTGTTCGGCCATTTTTCACAGAGATGGCGCTGTTCCGCTGGTAGGAAGTGATAAAAATCTCCATATAGAAATTGAGAGAAGTGGGAATATTTCGCTTTCGGTGTATATTCTGGTCAAAAAAAGTGAACGACAACCTAAAGAAATTAATCAGCAACTTTGTAGTTCAGTTTTTTCCTGGAAATTATTGTTAAACAAGTAACAATTTAATAAAAATGATTTTTCCCCATACAGTTTTACCTGATTTACTACCAGCTCCCAGAGAGCCAAAAAAAATCAAATTTGAGAGAGAAAATTTGCTCTCATGACCTCAATCTCTCAACATGCCATGTATTTTGTAGACACTCGATTTGTGATTTCCCTTTCACAGATTATACAATAGAGTACCTGACACTACAAAAAATGTCTGGTACCTCTGTATATGCATTTACTTTAACATTTGAAATCCCTCCTTTTTTACATATTCTGCACAAAAGATACTTTGTGCCCCGCCTTATAAATAAAAATTGGCGGGAAATTCTGTGAGGGGTGAGCTATTTTGTGTGCAGCATGTGTAAAAAAGGAGGGACTTTGAATATTAATGCATATATAGAGGTTCCAGACATGTTTTGCACTGCAGTGTCTTCTGTGGACAATTAACGTAAAACAGATTGTATGTAGTTTCCGATAGATGTCACCGCAAACAACAGCAGTGACATCTGATGAAACATGAATCTTCTGCAAAATAATTAATTGAATGCTTCCCATGTCATCTGCCATCATATGTATTGTAAATGAGTTTGTATATTGTGTGGATAGCACAATGATATGCAGTGCCTCGGGAAGTGCAGATCCAACCCGCCACCTTCGGTATGGCAATACCTTGACTAAGATAGAGTTAGCTGCGCCAGTGGTGTAGTGATAAGCGTGACTGCTTCTCACTTCAAAGGAATTGGGTTCAATCGTAGTCGGTGCCGTCGAGATTTTCTTAGACATAAAATCTCAGATCACACCTTCCTTCGAAAGGAAAGTAAAGCCGTTCATCACCGGTCCATGAGTTGATGGGTCAATAGGTAGGGTTCAGGTGTGGGAACTGGCAACTGGCGTCGCTAGCATTGGTACTGAACACGGAAGTACGGAAAACAAAATCGACGGAAAACAAATCAAGGCAAAAAGATAGAGTTATAGCGAAGACAACATATCAAGAAGACTGGCAACTCTCTCGTTTGCCCATACGCCCACTGTAAGACAGCCATAATCGCGCCATCTTCCACTCAAAGGTCAATGTTCCGAGTGAATTTGACAGCAAAGATTTCAATCTTAGAAGAGAGGTTTGTGTAATTGCTCATTTTTCTATGCGATGCTTCCACCTTCTCTCAAGCGCAGCGTTACTGTACAAGTCGCTTGAAATCTGGCTAAAGTTGCCAGTCTTCTTGATATGATGTCTTCTGTTATAGTTAATTCGAATTTAATCTGGAGAGAATTTGGAGAACTAAGCAGAGAACCCGTAGAGATTTATTGAGAAAATTTGAATAAACGATTGTACGATCGTAAGAAGTTTTAGAGAAATATTTAGAATTACATCAGACATTGTGTGAATTGGAAAGTGAGTAAGTTGTAAGAGGTAACGTGGGTAGATCACCTTTTCGTGGTACGTTACGGGATGTAAGATCTACCACCGATTCCTAGTCCCGACTACTTAAATCTAGGGGAACAGGATTTTTCAGTAATCAAAGGAACACATCTTAGTCCTTGTTACTTTTTATGCCTTGTTGATAGTGACAAGACTCGGCTTTGTCATCGAGGATGATCTTGAAACAAGGAAAAAAATGAGTTAGTTGTCTTCATCTATGTGATTCCTAATCTTGAATTCGTTGTTCTCTAGTTTGAAGTGGTTAAGACTAGGATTCTGATGCATGGTCATTATCAGTCTCATTCCTTAATTTTGTTGCTAAAGAATCCAATTTTAACTGACAAAGGGGCGCGCCTTTGGACGGTGTTTCAACACTCCGAAGGGTATAAATACCGGGACCTTTCAATTAGAATCGATTCCTTGCGATGAAGGCACTAAACTAAGGACACGGGATATACTACAATCGCAGTGGTGTTATGTCCCGAACAGAGGAAAAAAGAGGTTGAATTTTAGCAAGCTTGTAAATCATAGACCTAAAGCTTATTTTGTACACAATTCCCGAAACTGTACCGCTTTGACGTAATAGTAGGCTGCAATCGAGAGGTTATCAATTTTGCACACATCACGTGTGCGTTGTTTTGCTACGTCGAACCAGCTAGCTGTAGAGGCGCATGTTTGTTTATTTTAGTTTTTGTACGCTTAGCAGTCCATTTGAAGAATCGATTATCAGTTAACCAGGAGATGTTTCGGTTGTTAAGTAATGATTAATGATTTTTTATTATTAGTGTTTCTACAAATCATGCAATATGATACGAATTAATTCAACGAAAATTGTCTAAATTGAAGCTCACTCGAGTTTTGCACGATCTTTGAACCGTGGCCGTGTCGATGTTCCATTTTCTATGATCTAATACCGATTGACCTGTACAGTGTGAACCAGATCTAGCGGTTCGAATCCAACGATTCCATGAGTCTCAGAATTCAGTTCTCAAGGAAAAAAACCTGCTCTATCATTGCCGGAATTTACCCCAAAAGTAAGCAATTGAAATTGCCTTAATAAATGCCTGAATTCATCCGCTATCAGCCGTTTCCGGTTATATTCACAGACATTACAATGGATAATTTCCAGCAATAAAATTTCGGCACGTACTTAGCACACCCACCGCGACTGGAGGAAATGTTTAGGTCGTAAAAGTAAAGGCCTTATCTTGCCCTCACTCGAACCACAACAAAGCGCGGGTGTAAACATTTTGTATTGTGTGGATACGAGGAATGAAAACAGTAGTTGATATCGCATATACTTACGCTGTTCTTGCTGTTGCCATTATCCAGTATGAGCATTTTTAGCAGGGCACGTTTCAAACCCTGATTCTCCAGGCAGCTCAGTCGAAACTTGTCACTAGTCCAGCCAGCCATTGTGAGGAAAATGGACGAAGTCATGCCTCGCAAACTCTAGCCACGATGTATAGTACTTCTCGCTTCTGGGAGTAGCGAGTCAACCCCGACGAGCTCGAGAACTCGACTAACGTTTTGCTATTTCTTCACTTCTCAATATGATAATCAGCTTCTTCAAGGTTTAGACCTTAAGCTGAGGCTGTAATGCTCTTTTCCCTCGCCGTTCGTTGTCGGTCTTCCAAAAGGAGAGCTTCGCCTCTTTTGGAGCAGTTGCAGTTTCAGCTGCTATTATTTATACAGATAATCGATCTCTTCACAATCTACGCTCTAAAGGCCACCACGAATGGATCGGAAACTGCAACTAAGGGCAATCGTTTTGCTTCAACACAGTATTTACCGACCCGGAGACCACATATTTACTCAGAAACACATTCAACAGACAGAGGCCAACCGTGTTGTCGTTGCCTAGAGGCCGCGGATATCTCCCGTGATTATTAACATTTACAACGCTGCTACTAGCTTCCTTTCCTGGTCGTGTATACACAGCACAGCTACTTCCATTAAACGCCTCGCTCATTAACCAGACAGTAATTTATAATTTTGTTTTCTTCACCTTTTAGAGATTATGCAAATATTGTTTTCGCCACAATTTGCTCTTCAAATATTGACTGTGCAATCACACTTGTATCTATGCCCTACACTGATAAATTTCTGACCGTTTTTTCTGCTACCAAACTCTTCTAGATGTTCAACATCCACATTCAGAGACTTTCCAATATCACAATTTAAACATCAACATGCATCCATCGAGCACTCTCACACTCTAAATTGTGTTTTACCAGTCACTACGTTAGTTGAGATAAGCAGTCACTTTTCATACCACCACGGCCAATTTCAAAATTGGATTCGCGATTTTATTTCTATACTAGCTAGGAATGTCCTTCAGATTCCTCTAAACACTTACAACGATAACAGCGCAATTTTGAGGCAGGGGGCTCGTCGTCTTATGCGAAATCGAAATCAAAATCACCCCAATCTCTAGCTCGCTCGCTGTGTTCCGTATAGCCTGAAGCCTACGTTCGTGGAGTACGTTCCGTTGCGTCCGACGTCTGCGAGTGAACTAAAGCTTGAGGTGCGATTAGCTGTTCCTTTTTGCTGCTTCGATGAGCGAGCGTTGATCGTTTGCTGCACTGCTCGCCTGGAACATGTGCTCTGAAAGTGTAGCATGCGAAAGCTTGGAAAACTTAATGGAGAATATGTTGTGGATTGGGAGGTGTATTGGTGGGTTAGTAGTCAATGATCGGTTGGAAGCTTTCAGTCGAATGGGGCACTGCATAATTCATTGATTTGTGTGAAGATTAATGACCTGCTTGCGCTCAACTGATAATTCCTACATCAGATATGTTGAAGCGCCGGGAAATCCGCAAATATTCATGGGTGATTTAATTACAGCTTGTCTTTCATGGATTTTTCCAATTTTTTTACTGATTTGAATTGTTTTTATGTGTAGCATTGAAAAAAAAAAAAAAAATAAACGCAACTCTAAATAGACTACCGTAAATCAGGGGCAAATTAAAATCAATATGATATGATATGATATGATATGTTCCGATTGATAACTTCCCAAGTAACAATTCAGCAACCATTTGGCATCTATTCTGATTTATGATGGTTTTATAATAGCAATGAATAATCTATTTTGTTGAAATACAGCATTTAAAAGTGTAAATAAATCCTGCTTAGTAATTTAACCTTTTGTTGTTTTACAAACCTTCTATAGTCTGATGAGAAAATAAAAAATTGTCTTGTTTTAAAAATAAATTTAAAGCAGCTCTCAATCCCTCCATAAAACTATTGTGTAATTCAATCATAAACTTCATTAGAAATTTTTTATTAATGTCTTGATAAAATACTCTATAAACATGTTCTATCATTATTAAAGCAACCATAAAACCGTTAGGTTTTAAATGAGAGCAAAAGCATATATTGTTGCTTTTTAGGCTTCTTAAAGTGTATCATAAAATCCCCAATTACCGTGCGTGACCGAAATCCGTACACCTAAGCACGAGAGAATCATTAACGGTCAATGCTAAATAATGCTATCACATTATGCTCTGTATCACATCTTTTTCCAATACATTTATCTTTATTTTACCATTATTTGCAAACACCAGGTCTTAAAATTACCTTTAATTATAAGAAAAAAGTATTTAAATTGCACATCTCTTGAATCAAAATCCGTACAGTGTTCTACGATTGAATCAAAATCCGTACAATTTTGAATCGAAATCCGTACACTGTGTTGAGGATGAATCAAAATCCGTACAGTCATGAATCAAAATCCGTACATGCATGTAAATCGATCAAAATCAATGAAAAAAAAACATGTTGCTGTCTTGAATAAAGTATTTATTTAGAAGTTGCTTGGCTAGGAGTCCAAAACAGATATACTCGTTTAAATACACTAGTTTACAGCATATTTGAACGTTGTACGCTGATGGTCATTTCCCATGTAAAATCGTGCGCTGAATCCAAAAATGTAGTCCAAAAAATCTCAGTAGGATAGTTTTAGGGATATAGCTAAAAAATTAAATATCACTTTAAAAAAAAAACATGTTTACTAAAACCAAAAATACCTCCGGCTGTAATGAAGTAATAATAATTATTTTAACGCCGAATTAAACGTGATAAAATTTGATTTCGATCATTACAACATTTTTTTTCCGTGAGAGTAATGGTAGAACCACAATAAACATTTTTATTTACATTGCTTAAAAAATTAGCAGAAATTCAATTTTTCTAAGGAAAACTTAAAAAAAACTATTGAATAATAACAATACCACTAATCTCACTGACAATTGATGTTCAATTGATCGAACGAAAAATCTCTTACCTCTAATTTAGCGTTAAAATAATTGATATTTATATTATTGGATTCAGCGTACGATTTTACATAAGAATCATTCGTCAAAGGTTCAAGTTCATTTTTTTACTTTTATTTTATTAACTAGTAATATCAGCGTTAGATTAATTGATGCTCCAATCGATTCAAAGTAAAGGTAACTGATTTCTTTTTATTTAAGAAGGTGACTGCTCTGGATTTTTATGCTAACTAATATCATGCTTAAGGATTCATTTCCTCCTAATTTTATTCTATACCAATGCTTTGGGTTAAATATTATTACTAGAGTTTACCTCCGATCACAACTTCGAGGTCTTTGAAATTTGACATGTGATAACGTGCAAGATGCCCCATACTTTGGAACTTGGGGCACTCCAGCTCAACGTTACAAAACATTATTGATCGGGACAAAACTGGGCGTTGTAGCTTGGACAATGTTGTCGAATCAATAATAGCAAACTGAATAGAAGACTGCCGAAACATCTTTAATACACCGATAATGGAAACGCTCCATCAACCCACTGGCATCAAGCGATGGAATAAGCGGTTCCTCAGATAGTAGCCCTATAATGGCGGATAAGTGAAAAAAAATTACAACCATCTTAGAAACCAACATAAAAAGACAATGAACTGACATCAAAGATTAGTTTTTCGTTTTGTGCATGAAAAATAAAATAAACGTAAGTTAACGACTAAAACTTAATTTAATTTAAAACGTCGAGAGAGTAATAATTATAAAAAATCCAGATCTTTCATTGCTTCTTTTCCGCAGCTTTCTTCTGTTTCTTCTCCATTGTTGCCATTGCCTTTTCAAGTAATAATGCTTTCTTGCTTCCAGCTTTCTTTCCTCTTCTTCATCTTCTTCCTCCTCTTCCTCTCTCGCTCAACCTTTTTCTTTTGTCGTTCCTCAATCCTTTGTTTCTTTGCGTTCTCTTTATCAATTTTCTCCCGTTCACTTTCATGTATATTTCCGGCCATTCCTCGCTGGTGGCTACTGTTGGGAATGCTCTCTCGCCCATTTCTGTCTGCTCTCTGTAATTTGTATATGCGTGTTGGTGTAGAGGAGCTGCGCTGTTTTCCTTTTCGGCTGGTTCTTGACGCTTTTTATTAAAAGATATTAATAATTTAACATTTACAATACGAATAAAATAAGAGAGTAGCGATTCAATACGGCATCTCTTATGGTGGTAAATGGAACGGCAAAATCCCTGGACGCTTCTCGGTAAGATTTCCCCGCACGCATCATTGCCACAGTCTTCTCCAAATCCTCCGGCGTGTATTTAGCTTCCATGATCTGCTGAAAAACATCGGATAAAGTGGAGTCGTCATTGTGAATGCACAAGTGTACGGATTTAGAATCAGCTGTTATATATGGATCGAAATCCGTACAGTACTAATTTTGATAAATAAATACCATATGAATGATCCATTGCTTAGAATTGAGATATAAAACGATAAACACTTACCTTTCCGATCGACCTTCAGGAAACTACTTGCAAAAATCACTTAAATACGCTTAACAACTGGAAGTAAATCCGAGAGATTTTCTTAGAAAATCGTTAAGAACGCAACCGATTGATAGAAATGCCCGACACGTGATAAGGCTTTTATTTTTCTTATTTTAATTGCATGACATACTGCTTAATTGTTGACGTTAACATCAAGCTAATGCATGAATGAACATGAATATGTATTCATGTGTAATATTTACATTGTTATGATGCATATAAATAAACAAATTCAACAGGGTGTACGGATTTCGGTGCTGTACGGATTTCGGTCCCGCACGGTACTCTGTTTACAAATTGATGGATCCTCATTGAGCATAAGCCAAATTTATGACAAGGAAATCTCGAAGCATAAACGAAGTAGGATGAAAAATTCAAGCGATACTAACGACCGAAGTCGATTGCAGCCAAATTACCTTCTTTATAAGAACCAGCACATCGAATTCCCAAAATATTTTTAGATTTGGCTAGGTTTTCTTTATTAGGGAGGCTTGCAGTCTGGGTCTGGTTCGCCTCCGATAAAATATTGTCAATACAATCTAAAAACAGACCAGCCTTATCCAGATGATCTTGCGAACAGTTGACGATCGGAATAACTTGCATCAGTACTGGCATCAAACCACTGAAACTGTTACAGGTATACCTCGATATAACGTAACTGTCACTTTTGACTTCCATCGTCAATATCTCGCTAATAACAATTGAATCATACATATTAATTTTTCCAATAGATGGGGGATTATCTCATCTGTCCAATGGTGATATTACTTTGCTTGTTTG